TCACTCTTCAGAGAGCAAACGCTGGGAGTGTTCGACTGAGGACGTGCACGAAAAAGGCATCGAGGCCTCAGTCTTTCCTTCCTGCGCCACCTCTGCCAAATAACCCACCCCCGCCGAGGCTGGACCCTGGCAAGACAGAGAGACAGAAAGTGAGAAATCACCCCTGAGGGGGGGATGGCCACACTGCAATCCCTTCTCCTCCATTCTCCTCTCGGGACCTTGGGCACACATGCACACGTGCCCGGCGTGAGTTTAAGCCACCAGGTCCAGGACTCAAACTGTGGTCTACTACATTGGAGTTCAGTGACATAGCCATTATGCTAACTGCTGGTTCCCAAACTTTTATCATTAAATATGATGTTAGTTATTTTTTATAGGTGGTAAGTATTTTATAGATGCCTTTCATTAAGTCAAGGAAATTATCTTCTTATCCTAGTTTGTTGAGTTTTTTCTTTTTCCCTAAAGAGGTGTTGGGATTTTGTCAGATGCTTTTTCTGCATCTAGCTATGTTTTTTTTTTCTTTATGCTATTAATATAATGTTGCATTGCATTGATTGATTTTCATATGTTGAACCAACACTATATTCCTGGGATAAATCCTACTTGGTAATGGTATATAATTCTCTTTCTATAATGTCATATGTAGTTTGTCAGTGTTTCGTTGAACATTTTTTTTGTCTCTTAGGTCATCAGGAAAGTCATGATGTATTTTAAAATTTCCCTATGCAAAGATGCTTCATGACTTTCCTGATGACCCAATATATCCATAAAGGATATTGACCTGTAGCTCTTTTTTATTCTTGTGATGTTTTCCCATTTGTTAACAGGGTACTAATATTCATGTTTAATTGTATGAACCTTTTTATGATAGGTTACAGTTGGTGCAGTCATTGTCAGAAAAGCTAGTACAAAATCTCTGTCTTGTTTGTTGGCTGTGCTGAGAAAGTGGTCATTGCTGCTCTGAAATTCTTGCTTGTCTTTGTCAGCTGGTTCCCTGTTGGCCTAGGTAAATAGGGACACTAGAGGAAGACTGGGAGACTGGAGGAGGGGACTTCTCTTTTGGTCCTTCTACAAGTAGCATCACCAATGCATTTTACCAGGGAAACAGTGGTTGGTTCCAGTTTGCAGTTTTTCCATTTCCAGCATCTGGGCACCACCTTCCCAGAGATCCTGGGTGCCCCTCCATTGAACCAGAAAAGAAGATATATACAATCTGATTGTTACAAAATGTCATGCACATATTTTAGATTAACTGTTTATTAATAGAAATAAACTTCTGGGCCAGACTGATAGCCTAGAGGTTGAGGGAGCTGGATACCATATGTCCAACTGGTTCAAATCCCCACCCTGGAGGCTTGAGGGACATGTCAGGCATATGTGTGTGCATGCTCAAAGTCCCAAAGGATGAAAAATGAAGGACAAGGAATTGCAGTATGACTAGATGCCACTGGGAGGTGCTTTCTCTTTCTCTGTCTCTCCTTCTTTCTCTGGCAAGTGCATGTACCCTGTAGAAAGAAGGAAAGATGAAAGAAAGGAAAAGAAAGAAAAGGAGGAAGGAAGAAAGAGACTGCTAATTTACACCATAACAATAATTGGAACCTGCTGTTTTGGGTCAGTAACTTACTGAAAATGAAACAAAACAAAACATAGAATAATATTTGTACAGGTTTCATAATAGCACCAAAGATAACGTTTAACAAATAAATATAAAAAGGCTCATAATGTTCCCAAAATAAGTCTTCCTAGTGCTAAATGAGGTCACCAAAGGAGCAAACATGGGAATAGAACTCTTTTTTTTTTTTTTTTCTTGAGAGGTTTTTGCCATGGGCATGTGAGCTCGCCAGACAGACAGAGAGAGACAGAGACACAGAAAGCGAGAAATCACCCCCCAGGGGGGATGGCCATGCCGCAATCCCTTCTCCTCCATTCTCCTCTTGGGATCTTGGGCACGCACGCACACATGCCTGGCATGAGTTTTAAGCCACCAGGTCTGGGACTCGAACCGCAGTCAATTACATGGGAGTCAGCGACATAGCCGTTATGCTAACTGCTGGTCCCAGGAATAGAACTCTTGACTCTGTCTTTTTTTTTTTTTTTGAGTGATGTTTAGTATAGCGTGCGTGTGCTTGCCAGAAAGACAGAGAACAGAGAGATGGAGAGACAGAAAGCGAGAAATCACCCCCCAGGGGAGATGGCCACACCGCAATCCCTTCTCCTCCATTCTCCTCTCGGGATCTTGGGCACGCACACGAGCCCGGTGTGAGTTTAAGCCCCCTGGTCTGTCTGGGACTCGAACCACAGTCGACTACATGAGAGTCCAGCAACATAACCATTACGCTAACTGCTGGTCCCTTTTTTTCTTCTTCTTTTCTTTTTTTGTTTTTTTTTTTTTTTTTTTGACTCTGTCTTAATGAAATTAAGAGAAACTTAAAGAAATTAAGGTCATAAGTCCTTAATGAGAAGCCTTAAGAGGAATTCATTTGTCTTATTGGGAAAAGTAATCTGAGAATTTAAAACAGTGGACTGGTCAGTGAATGCCTCAGAAAAATAAGGAAGAGCAGATCAGAGAGTATTTACATTCTGTTGACCTCAAGTACACAAAGCAGTCAGACAAGTACAGGAAGAATTTATCCTCATTGAAATTCAAGTGCTGCCTTTAGTTAGGATAGTGTGAAAGAAAAAGTAACTTGTTCATGTAAATGAGCCGTATTATCCGAGTCACCGTAACTAGTCATCACTAGGAGAAATCACGTCATCTCCTCTGAGTGAGAAAATTTCAAAACCTCTCTACTTTTTCTCCTTTTAGGTCATACATACTAGGGGGACGGGGCAGGCAACAGAGGAAGAATTCAGTCCAAGCACAGTTTGAAGCCTGGTTCTGACATTATTTGTAAAACAAAGAATAGAAGGAACATCATGTACAATCTTATCTACAGTGATTGCTGCAAAGCGCAATGACATGATTTAGATTTCATTATTATTTTCTATATTGAATAAATTACTACCTTGGACAGTTTCAGTTTCCAAAGTTAAAGTTAACCTTGGAATTTTAAAAAAAATGTATTTCTTCCATGACTGAGAGAGACAGAGAGAGGCACATAGAGAGACCACAGCCCCAACAGGGTTTTCACGGTGAACCCACTCCCAGCTTTAAGCCAGCCCCAAATCATGGTCACACGCATGCCCAGCATGCTCAGGGAGATCCCCAGACTTGATCCAGGGACCTTCCCAGGTGGAATTGCCTTGCAGAGCACTGTGTTTTACTGATGCGCCACTAGTTGGCTCCACCCTTGGGAGTTTTGTTTGTGTGTATGTTTTCATTTGCAGATATGATAGTATCTTACAGTTATTTTTATACCAGTCTGGGTGTAAATTTAGGGTCATAACATTCTTCACACACCATCCTACTCTCTTTTGGCAGGTTTTTTTACTCAAAACAGATATCTAAGTCCTGCTTATTTTAATTCCTTTAAGCAACCAAGATCTCTCTCTCTCTCTCTCCTCTCTCTCTCTCTCTCTGTTTAGCTCAGGAAGGTATCAATTTAATTTTTAAAGTTTTCATCTAGAAGCTTCCTAGTCTTGGTTTCATTTCATGATTTTTTTTTTTCCGTGCCCACATTGACTTCTCTCTATCTCCAATTTTAGATTTCTTTTCAGGTCTGGAAAGTATTTTTTAAAGTATACATTTTTACCCCTACTCACGATCCATGGTTCCGTTTTATGCTTTAGGAACATCTCTTGGGTTGGATTTCTATCATTTGTTCTCCCATATTTTACTGATTTTTTTTCTAAATGTCTATTCATTTTACATTTTGGAAGTATTTCTAAAGGGGGTCTTCTCCATTATTGATCTGATTCTCCCACTGTAAAACCTTGCTTTTATTTCCTCAGCTTTGAACCTGCTGGATTTTTCTTTTGCTTTGTTCCATCCAGTATCACCCCCTTTCCTTCTGGATTTAAGTCTATTCTTGTCCAATGGTGGCAATGTCCTCTCAAGTCACTTCTGGGGTTGACTGTACCCCTGAGCTCCCAGGCCATGTCTGCGACAATGCTGAGGTCAGCTACAAGATGTGGCCATCGGGTAGTAAACAGAACATGGGACCCAAGTCAGCAAAATCCAACAGACACCGGGCAGGAGTGAGGAGGGACAGGATGTAAGAGGACTATGTGTGTTAGGCGCTGAACTGCGCACTTTATATAGGGGCCTCGTTTTTTCCTCACAGAAGCCCTGAAAGTGACTTACGACGATCCCAATCTGTCCTTTATGCCCCTTCACTACCCTTATCTGGATGGGAATGAAGAGGGGTCCTTAGGAGAGCAAGAGGACCCTCTATTCCCCTCCTGAAATAAAAGCATCTTGCTTTTATTTACACTAAAGTATTATTGTTTTAACTTAAGATCTTTAAGATGGAAATCACCCCTTCAATTATTAGGGGAGACACAGAGGGAATAAATATTCTACTGCCTTCGGGTCCTGGAGAGTACACAGCGCACTGGAAGCCACACATGTGAACGTCAGGGAACACGTGATGGGGGGCATACATTGCTCAGCACCTTTACTGAGCTCAGGTGTCACCCGAGCAGGTGTCCGGTGGGGAGTTCTAACTGGAGGATTGAAAGCAGGCAGGCACGAGTTTCAGGTCAGGCTATGGCTCGAGGTGGTTCCTGTGACGTAGCTGCATAGCCCACTGTGGTTTATTAGTCAGTGGGGCTCCAGCAGGTTGTACCCAGCTGTCGCATAAGAAGACGGTCACCAGGAGGAACTTGCATAAGGCAAATACTGGGATGCGTCACACTGAGGAACTAGAATTGGGGGGAGGAGAGTAGAACTGGAGACTGTGTAGGGAGTGACTGCAGGCTGCTTCTGGAATGAGAAAGTTCAACTTGTGTGTATAGTGAATTCCGAGCAATATAACATGATAAGATTCCACTATAATTATTGTCATTAAAATGTTGTGAGGTTGAAAAGGTCATTGTTATTATCTCCAGGGAAGAGAAAATAGGAGTTCAGAGAAGCTTAACTGCAACTTGAACACCATCTCCATTCCTGTACTGACATCTGGAGCCAGAGTGACACGGGGCAGAACAGAGCCTCAGGCCCAGCGTCAGCACCTCCCAGGAACAGCTTCATATCCTGTTGTGCAACTTTCCAAAGCCTCTGGGTCAGTGCAACACCCTGCAGCTGTCTCAGGAGCCCACAGTGGCAGTTGGACTTGGTGCATTTGAAGGATGAGGAAGGTCAGACCCTGGGGCTTGCTGTGGATGCTCCTTGTGGCAGGTAAGGAAGACACCGAAGAGGTGTGAGCAGGTGATGCTTCTGGGCCTTGACCTTGGGAAGACCCTTTCTTTTGAAGTTCCAGAGCTTTGGACCATTCAGGATAGAGACCCAGTAGTTTTGCAAGACTGGGTTTCTTCTCCTAAACTTAGAAGAATCAAAGAACAGACAGCGTTTTAGAAAAGAAATAAAAGGGGTGAATTAGGGAGGCACAATGTCTGTGTAGTTTGATGTCAGCTATGTGCAAAGCTCTGAGTAGAAATCATGATAGAATAAATCTAAAATGGTTGTTGTTGAACTCTTTTTCTTACGTTCCGTCATGATACTTTAATGTTGACAGACATCATTCATTTAACAAACATTTCCCATAGGCCTCTATGGCCAACACTTATGCTGCTGCCGAGGTCAGAGACTGAGCAGAAAGGCCTGGTGCTCATTTTCACGGAGATTATAGTCCTGGCTCTCCATTGCATGCTGTGGTTGGAGGACACTGTTGCTCAGACAGTAGAGCTGCATCAACTCCGACTCCCACTTCTCTCCTTTTACCATCTGCTTGCTCACACCTGCACTAAAGAAGCGAGCATGTGGGGCTTCTGTTGCTCCTCTTCTTTTATTTATTTATTTTACATTCAATCACTGTGTGCCATTGCAGCACAGCGAATGAATTTTCTCCTCCTGAATACACTGCATACTGGTTCAATCAGATATTACCACACATCTTATCATCAACAGATAAGTTTCCGTTATTGTGTTTCTTAAATGTTTTGCTTATTTTTTCCCTTGACTCCCTCCCTTTCGCTCTCCCCTCTTTGCCAAGCTCCTCCCGCGCTGCCTCTCGTATCCACAGTTGCTCTCCCTGCCTTTATACATTCCAGTCTGTCAGTTTCTGCCATAGAGCGTTGCTCCTCTTCTTAGTCTTATGAATAAGAGAGGGAACTTTTGACATGGGCTAAAGACAAGACCTGCCTTGGGAGGGCATGGAAAATTACGATGTGTTCTCCTAGGGCCCACTCTTTTGAGCAAAGTCATGAGCAATTGCCTTGCAGAGTCTGCACGGAAATATTGTTGGGTCTCCTTGAGGCTGGGGCAATAACTCAGGTGAGCAGGTGGGGTCGGGACCTCAGGGTCCTGTGCACTTCCTTGCGTTTTGTTCATGTTTTGGGGTTGAAGTTTGTGTACTTATGGGAGAGAAAACCAGTGATTAATTCTTCATTGCACCCTATGAGGTGACATTTGCCTAATTTTTTTTTATCTTAACAATGATGTCTGATTACTCATGAAAACTGAGGCAGTAGACAAAGCTAGTCAATACCTCAAGCTATTTTCCTATTAACAATTATTATAGCACTTGATCTCAGGCAACCTTCATTAAAACAAACAAACAAAAATCCCTAAAAGTTAGATATATATGTTTTTGTTTCATTGCTGTGCTTAATAGATAGGGAGTAATGGACACTGCATTGTATTGGATCATCGGGAAAAGTCATGATGCATTTTTGCATAGAAAAACAGAAAAACACATCATGACTTTTCTGATGACCTAATAGATTTGTTCGTAGGTCAAATTCATACATTTATGATTTTAAACATCTAACAGAAATAAAAACTGGATGAGCCCTGTATTTAATGTTGGTAACTCTGAAGACATGCCTTCTTTAATTAAACCAACAAATTATATAACCAAATTTTATCAAAGTAATGTCAACTTGAAAAGCATTAGAGCGTGTTTCTATTTTTGCTGATATATTTCTTGATTTAAAAGATTACTTTTTACTTGAAATCGACTAACTAGAGCTCTTCGCAAATTCTAGTATCACTCCTTCACAATAGGCACGCCGATTCAGACATATGCCAAACACGGACAGGCAGACTTCGTAGTTTCCGCTCTAAAACCCCTAGTTACGCGCCACGCCTGGTAACGCCAACTCACTACCTGGGGTCTGGCAAATGAGACAAGTTGTTTCTCTGTTCATACGGCTAAGCCTTTTCTTAATACTTGTGGAGATGTTAAGATTTTTCATTTGCCCGGCTTCCAAATCATCCTTTCTTTTGTTTTCCTCTTGGACTGTTGACTTTTTCGATGAATTTTTCTATTGCCCAACATCGTTGATAGTCAGGCAAATCTAAGTTTACATTTCCGAAAAGGATGCCTCGTAGGTGTCTAAGTTGTTGATTGTCTTGGCACTTGCTGACATGTGCAAAGTCATTATTCTTTTATTATTATTATATTTAAAGAGATAGAAAAAAATTTTGCTGTAGGGCATGTGCGCTCACCAGAAAGACAGAGAGAAACAGAGAGACAGAAAGCAAGAAATCATCCCCCAGGGGGATGTCATGCCGCAATCCCTTCTCCTCCATTCTCTTCTCGGGATCTTGTGCACGCACGCACACGTGTCCGGTGAAAGTTCAAGCCACCAAGTCTGAGACTCGAACCACAGTCGAGTCCATGGGAGTCCAGTGACATAGCCATAATGCCAACTGCTGGTCCCCCAAATCATTATTCTGAAAGCCCTTTTTTCTTATTTTAGCTGGACTGCCCTAAGAAAAAGTTGAGAAAAGTCAGATTCGTCTTTCTTTTGTTTGGCAGTATGAGGCAGGGCAACACTTTAGGAATGGCTTTCAAAATTATTTGCAGATTTTTGTTGTTGTTGTTGTTGGCCTGCATGGCAGGCAAAGCATTTTTTAAAGTGCAGACAGGAATATTTAGGTAATTATCATTACCTAAACTCAGGGTTCTGACTAAGGTGTCAAGGTGGTTTAAGGCACGCCTGTCTGATCGGAGGATGAAATCTTGGTAAATGCTTACCTTGTTCTCTCCCTGAATATTTACATTTTAGCTGGTGCTGGCTGGATTGGCTAGAAGGTGGTAAGAAAAAAAAAAACACACACACACACACACTTTCAAGCTGGCTTTGAAAGCAGTAATAGTAGAGACTGGTTTTGTTTTCATTTGTAAGATGAAGAGTGTTGTAACAATGTATTTTATCCTAATACAGGCAAAACCGTCAGCAGCTTCAGAGTAGGCAGAAGAAAAAGAAGAGAGAGGTTAAAAGAGTTTGCCCATTTAGACTGCTTACCCTATAACTCATCACCTAATTTAGTTTTTTTAAAAGAATTATTTATTGAATTTTATTTATTCATTACTATTATTTTTTTAATTTGACCAGAGAGACACACACAGAGTGGAAGGGAGACAGAGAGAAAGAGGGAAAGTGAGAAAGCAAGCCACCAGGTCCGGGACTCGAACCATGTCAGCCATGTGGGAGTGTCCAGCGTCTTAACCACCACGCCACCTGCTGGTCCCCTAATCTAGCTTTAAGATAAGCGAGCTCGAGGAGCTGGATTAATGGCCATTTGAGCTCTTAACTAGCCTGGGTGTCAGTTTTCCATCAGTTCAAAATGTACATGGGGATGGACTCTGATTTCTGAACATAGAGCTGGCTGGGGCCCCTGAAGGACGTTGCCCTTTTCAGTTTAAGGATCTCATTTCAGTTTTGATTAACCCCTCGAAAGTAAAGACAATCCTATAAGCCCTGTCAAGGAATTTGAACGGTTTGGGCAAAGCTTTTTGCTTTGACAAGTGTCTGTGGCACAGGATACAACTTTTTCTTTTTTTTTTTCTTTTTTTTTTTTTTTTGCCATAGGACACATGCACTTGCCAGAGAGAGACAGAGACAGAGACAGAGAGGGAAAGTGAGAAATCACCCCCCCCCAAAAGTTGGCCATGTTGCAATTCCTTCTCCTCCATTTTCCTCTCAGGATTTGGAGGCACACATGCACATGTGCCTGGCATGAGTTTCAAGTCCAGGACTCTAACCACGGTCAACCACATGGGAGTCCAGTGCCTTAACCACTGTGCCACCTGCTGGCCCCTTACCAGTTTTTCTTTAGTTGTGTGAAAATTTTCTAGAGACTGGCAGGTGTCCTAATGTTAATATTCCCTGCCTATAACCCAGTTTTGCCACACACAGGAGATTTTACCTTCAAAGGCTGGATTTCCTCATAGGTGAAAGCAATGCCTTTTAATTGGTCAACCTGTGCCCACCATTTGTAACGTGTGGTTTTTGCTCTAAAAATATGCCCAGGGCCTAGCAGTGGTGTTGCACAGGGGGTGCTACTGCTTAGGAGGCTGCAGCTTCATGGGAGGCCCAGGTTCAGTTCCCCGGCCAACCTGAGCAATACACGGTGTAGCAGCACGTGCCTGTGGTCCTGGCTATTTGGGAGGCTGGGGCAGGAGGATTCGCACACAATGAGGCCCTGTAAAAAGCAAGCCCCAAACCCAAATCTCTATTTCCATCTCTTTCCTTTTCTCTTTCTCTCTTAAAAGAGAGAGAGAGAGAGAGAGAGAGAGAGAGAGAGAGAGAGAGAGAAAGGTGTTCGGAAATAAACAGGGGAAAAAGAAAAAGTCAAATTATTTGCAGATGCACCTAACCAAAACCAAAAAGGAGCATTCACAAAATTTTAAACTAAACGAAATACTGAACCAGGTGTGTGTGTTGCGGGAGGGGAGAGGAGAGAGAGAAGTAAACTTGATGAGACGATGTCACCAGAGGACAATGTCTTCATACCAGAAAAGGCCTGGCAGAAAAAACCACAAGCCCCAAGAGGATCAAGTTCCTTCATTAAGGCAACTGTATCCAAAACAGACCCTCAATAAAGTCAAGGAATTTCTACTAAAAAGGAGCCTGACCAGAGAGAAAACTCATGAGGGCAGAAAAGTTGATCAGTGGAAGGAGAGAATTCAAAGGGCTCCGTGGTCCTATGCATTGTTATATTGTTATTGTTTTGCCAGAAGGTGCACTATCTCGACAGAGAGAGAGACAGAAAGAGAGGGAGAGGAAGGAAACATCTCCCATGGGGAACAGCCATGATGCAATCCCTCTCCACTATCCCCCTCCTTTTGGGAGTCTGGGCATGCTCTCACATGCCCAGCATGTTTTTCTTAAGCTTCTGGCTACAGGACCCAACCCGTGTGGTTGGCCACGTAGGATCCAGCTGTCTAAGCCACCACGCCACTGGGAGCCCCTCAGGTCCTATCGCTGATGCCATATTATGTCAACATAAAATAACAACACATATTATCAATGAGTTTATTTAGAATGAGTGATGGATTACAATCTGGGAATATGTGCCATGGCACCCTGTGGATCAATTCCCCTCCTGGTATTTTAGGCACACACACACACACACACACACACACACAGAGCTGGCATGAGTTTCAAGGTGCCAGGTCCAGGACTCGAACCACAGTCGGCCATGTGAGAGTCCAGTGCCTTAACCACCACACCACCTACTGGCCCCAAATAAGAGAGTCTTTTAAAGCACATGGTAATCTTTTTAAAATTAACATATTGTAAGAAAATTCCTCTTGCAATGGTGCACAAACAGCGCTTCAACGTAAACAATGTCTCCTTTGCAAGACAGGCAGGTTGGTAAGCCAACTCAATCACTCTGAGCCTCCCTCTTCCCTGGAGAGAGAACAGTGGAGATTTCTGTGCAGCACTGATTCAAGAGGATAGGGCTTTCATCGCGGCAACTGAAGGGTGGAACCCTCGTCTTCCACAGAGCCCAGCACGGTGCCAGCCCCAGAGAAGGCTCTCAGCCACACTGTGATGCACAAGGGGACCGAGTCCGACTTAAGACAGCTCTCAGCCTCTGCTTGCCTGGCTCTGAGAGAAGCTTTCCTGACCAGAGTTTATGGAAATTGCTTGTTTATGAGGTTCTTTAAAGACACTGAAATAGACCTGCAAGTCTGGTTTCATCTTCAAAATCCTCCTGTGCTCGCTTCGGCAGCACATATACTAAAATCCTCTTCAGAAGTTTCAGAATCAGGTCTTCCCAAGGTCAGGTCAAGGACCTGTTGGCCCATGCTGGGGTGAGCATGCGGAGGCTTCTCTTGGCATTCTTACTTGGCTGTCTCACTCAAGAATTAAAGTGTGTGTACGTGTACGTGTGTGTGTGTATGCATGTGGGTACGTGTGTATATGTATGTAAGTATGTGCACATATATGTGTGTACATGGGTGTACTGTGTATATGTGTGCGTGTACATGTGTACATTTGTGTGCATGTACGTGGGTACGTGTGTATATGCATGTATGTATGTGCACATATATATGTGTACATGGGTGTACTGTGTATATGTATGCGTGTACATGTGTACATTTGTGTGCATGTATGTGTGTATGCATGTGTCTGTGTGTGTGTGTATCTGTGTGTGTATGTGTATGTAGTAGCATATATATTTTTTAACTGTCCTGCAGTAGTATTACTAACAGCAGTAGCAGTTGTAGGTACTGGTAGGCTGACCCAGTTTGATGCGACATTGCTGTCTAGCCCATTATTTGGTGTTCCATGGAGGAAGGTATCCCAGGCCTGAGGGGATAAACTTGAGTCCCTCGGTAAGATTATAGAGCCACATGTGCCTAGCTGAAAACACAGATTGGATCTTACCTCCACTCTGTTTGGCCTTCCATCAGCAAAGCTCTCTTGGCCCGGACAGGACAATACTTCCCAATTCAAAGTGGGAAGAGCATGACTGGAACTATTGTCCCTGTAACCTAGGGGCTCTCAAACTTGGCACTACTGACACTTTGGATGGGATGATTCTTTGTTGTGAGGGTTGTTCTGGGCACTGTGGGATGCTCAGCAGCATCACTGGCCTCTACTCATTGGATACCAGCAGCACTCACCCACAACCCTTGTCATGCAACCAAAAATGTTTCCAGACATTGGCCAATGTCTCCAAAACTTGCTCCCAGTGGAAAACAACTGCCACGATTCCTTCACATCGAATACGGGAGGGGGAATGGCTTGGCTTAGTTAACTGGAAGTACAAGGATTGCTGGGTTGGAGCAAACTGAGACCATGACTCAGATGGCATTGTTAAGTCTCTACGCTACCCACTCAACTTCTGTTTGGCCTCATTCTCCAGCAATTTATTTTATAAGAAATAACTGAAGCTTTAGATCCCACTGATCTATCAATCTCAGTAAGAAAGGGCATTTTTCTTAGTAGCGCCCACAGACTCAGGCAGAATTCTGATTGGCCCAGACATGGTCACGTGTTGTTTCTCAATCAATCAGTATGACCAGGTAATTTGACTGGCTAAGCCGTGTCATATGTCTGTCCTTGAGTATGTGGGAAGCCCCAAGAATAGAGCCATAGAGGATGTCTTCCCCGGGGAAGGGAGAGAGGGGTGCCAGACTGATATTAACGTCTCCCATGCTCTCAGGATGGCTTTCTCGCTGTTTGTCCAAAAGTCTCTTGAACCGATGTCTTTGCCCTGTTTTAGATGAAGTTCCTCAAGCTGTCCTAAGGAGTCACTCTCTGCTAGTGTCTTGTCTTCGCATCTACCCTTACCCTGTATACCCATCTCTGTAATCTTTCCCTCCCTTCATGCCTTAATTACTCATCATCTCAGCAAAATGTCCCATGTTCTGTTTGCAGTCAGATAATTTCTTCCTCTCGAAACGACCTTTTATAAAATTTATTTTCAACAGACCACATACAGTCTAGCACTCACAGTTTTTTGTTTGTTTGTTTTAATTTTTTAAATAAATAACTACTTCATAATGGAAAGATCTGAGGTCTGGTGCTGGCCTACAGGGAAACTTGCATCTTCCCTGGAGGCCTCAAGGACCTTATCTAAAAAATGGGTGATTGGTCAAGCAAAACAGGTGGTTCATCTCCTTTATTTCCCAGAGAGGAAAACTACTACTCACAGAGCCTAACTCTCTTTCTCTGTTTACAGAACTTCAAGCTGCAGGTGAACTCATCGAGAAGCATGTGTTAGCTGAGGGGCAGAACCTGACTGTAAGCTGTCCCTTCAACATACAGAAGTACGCCCGCAGCCGGAAAGCTTGGCAGAGGTTGAAGGAGGGACAGGAGCCCTTGAATCTGGCCATCATAGACAGACCTTCAGGGACTCCCAGTCAAGTCCAAGTGGAGAGGTACATGCTAGAAGACCTCCCTGAGGATGGCATGCTGCACGTCCGAATGATCAACCTTCGAGTGGAGGACTCAGGGCTATATCGGTGTGTGATCTACCACCCGCCCAGAGATCCTGTGGTCCTGTACGACCTTGTCCGCCTGGTGGTGACCCCAGGTGAGAGACTAGGGGTAGGTGGGTAGAGAGTGAGGAGAGCCAGGCCAGGTGGGGGTAGGGATAGCGGTGGTAGCTGTGGCCCAGGATTCCTAGCAGCCTGCTTTTCTGCAGAAGCTCTTCATCTCTCATTTGAGATCTTTGAGATGCAATTGGTACAATAGTAAGGAGAAGCTTCTAGGCATGGGATACCCCCTGGGTAGTAAAGGCTGCTAGTTTGGGCTGCTACTATCCGAAGTGGATACAATAAAACGTGGGTGGTAGAGTTGGGATAATTTAGTCTCATTCTTCAGGTCTCCACTTAGAAGTCTGCCTGACAAAGACTCCTATGATACACTCTCCCCATCCCGAGGATACACTTGACGACTTTCCCATGGAATTTTAAAGCAGTGCTTCTCTGACATTCGTGCCAAGGGCAAAACCACCTGGCAACGTTATTTCAAATGTTAGGCCCTGACACAATAGTCTAGGTGGGACTCAAGGTGATGCCAGTGCTGCCAATCCAAACTCCCATTTCTGGGGAGCAAGTCTCCAGAGTTCACTTTGTGTCCCTTTTGTAGACAACACCATCACCAGTAGTAGCAGCCAGTTTACTTACCCTGCATCCCTATTATTCAATCTCTGAGCTCCTGGAGGGAAGGGCCTGTGCCTTGCTGAGCTCTGCATTCCCTGCGACTAATGTAGTGTCTGGCACAGACTAGGCCCTCGGAAGATATCGATCGGATGAATTAAGAAAGGTAAAGGAAAGGGAGAGAAGTTCCCAGCACCAAGGGTTTCTGAGCCTAAGAAAGATAAGGCATATATGCAAGATGTTAATAAAAGATCATTTATAAAGCAATATGCCACAGGTACAGGTGAATGAAAGGCGGAATGAATGACATAAGCTAGAGTAATCAGGGAATTCTTCTTGGAGAAGGTGGGCCATATGGACATGCAAAGAATAGCAGGCAAGTGCATTTCCAATAGCACAAATAGCCTGAAAACTTCTTTCTTCTGTCCTTCTTCTTCCTTCCTTCCTTCTTTTCTCCTTTCTTTCTTTCCTTCTTCCTGTGTCTGACCCAGGATGACCCCAACCTTTCTGGTTTTAGCAAAAGAAGACCTTCATTTACCTCCTCAGCTCCTTACCGTACCGTCTATCCATCCATTCACCTACCCATTCATCCATCCACTCGCCCTTCTAGTGATCCATCCACCCATCCACCCATCTATGTACTCACTTATCCATCTCATTCCCAATCATCTGTCCTTCCATCCGTCTACACAATCGCCAACAATCCACCCTCAGATCGCCCACTCAAGTACGCATCCATCTTTCCACCTCTTCATCCATCCAATGTGGTTTCTTGCAGGTTCTTCTGGCACCCCTACCTCTGACCAGAATTCTATCCAGAAGTTGCCTCGGACTACCACTCTTCCTCCTGTCATCACTAAGGCCTTCAGCATATCCTATACCAGGTCCAGAGCTGTGACTGAGCCTCCAACCACTTCTCCTGGCCTTGGAGTCAACGTTATAAATGTGACAGATGTCACCAGGTATAGTTTCCAGGCTGCTGGGTCCCTGATTTGAACACCAAGCCCTTTGTTCCCCAGTGCCTATGCTAAGACACGTGAGGGATGGGGAAGGTGGGGTTGGAGCAGACTTGAGTCACCTTAGTCAGGGTGGAAATTCTCAGCAGGGAAAGGAGATGGACAGAGTGAGGAAAGGGCTCTCGGTGAGGCTGCCATTCTCTCTAGTTGACCCTTCTTGTTTCCTTTCATACCAGAGCAGTAGAGAGAGGGAAGTAGCAGCTTGTGGAATTCCAGTGGATGTCAGCCAACCCCAGGGGCCTAATGGTATAGTGGGAAAAGCACTCTGAGCAAGGGGCCTTCCCTTGTCGATGCTAGAAAACACGAGCTGGAAGAGAACTAGCCCAGCAGCTCTCTGCAGTAGCTGTATGCTATAATCATCCAGAATATTTGCTTTTGCTTTGTTTTGTTTGTTCTTTTTTTTTTTTTTTTTGGAGAGGTTTTTGCTATAGGGTGCAT